TGTGGCCCAACTCCGAGGTTCTGAACCTTGGTCGTCTGCCATGAGAGATTCAACTCCATTGAGTGGGCAGCACGTTGGAGGGTTGGGCTGAAAGTCTCTGATTTCTCTACAAGCAAGGCAGTATTGTTGGCATCGTCTTGGTCGGTGAACACTTCTTGGCCAACCTGGATTCTGATGTGTGGAGAGGCAAGTCCTAATATCCAGTCAGTAGCTTAACAGAAAAATGCTGGAGCAAGAATGCATCCCTGCTGCGGACCTGAAGTTGTGTAGAAATGCAGCAAAAGCTTTGAACCAGTATGCACACTTGCATCGGTACCAGTGTGAAGATTGTGCACCAGATTTAGCAGAACATCGGGACCACAGAGACTACAGAACCAGGATCCCACCATCAACCTCAGCCTGGTCCAGTCCACACAAGAGATCCACTTCCTGGACACTACAGTGCTAATAAATGATGGTCACATAAACACCACCCTATACCGGAAACCTACTGACCGCTATTCCTACCTACATGCCTCCAGCTTTCACCCTGACCACACCACACGATCCATCGTCTACAGCCAAGCTCTGAGATACAACCGCATTTGCTCCAACCCCTCAGACAGAGACAGACACCTACAAGATCTCTATCAAGCATTCTTACAACTACAATACCCACCTGCGGAAGTGAAGAAACAGATTGATAGAGCCAGAAGAGTTCCCAGAAGTCTCCTACTACAGGACAGGCCTAACAAAGAAAATAACAGAACAATGTAATGGCCACTAGCCGTCATCTTCAGCCCCCAACTAAAACCCCTCCAACGCATTATTAAGGATCTACAACCTATCCTGAAGGATGACCCAACACTCTCACAAATCTTGGGAGACAGGCCAGTCCTTGCCTACAGACAGCCCCCGAACCTGAAGCAAATACTCACCAGCAACCACATACCACACAACAGAACCACTAACCCAGGAACCTATCCTTGCAACAAAGCCCGTTGCCAACTGTGCCCACATATCTATTCAGGGGACACCATCACAGGGCCTAATAACATCAGCCACACTATCAGAGGCTCATTCACCTGCACATCCACCAATGTGATATATGCCATCATGTACCAGCAATGCCCCTCTGCCATGTACATTGGTCAAACTGGACAGTCTCTACGTAAAAGAGTAAATGGACACAAATCAGATGTCAAGAATTATAACATTCATAAACCAGTCAGAGAACACTTCAATCTCTCTGGTCACGCGATTACAGACATAAAAGTCGCTATTTTACAACAAAAAAACTTCAAATCCAGACTCCAGCGAGAAACTGCTGAATTGGAATTCATTTGCAAATTGGATACAATTAACTTAGGCTTGAATAGAGACTGGGAGTGGCTTAGTCATTATGCAAGGTAGCCTATTTCCCCTTGTTTTTTCCTACCCCTCCCCCCCAGACGTTCTTGTTAAACCCTGGATTTGTGCTGGAAATGGCCCACCTTGATTATCATGCACATTGTAAGGAGAGTGATCACTTTAGATAAGCTATTACCAGCAGGAGAGTGGGGTGGGAGGAGGTATTTTTTTCATGCTTTGTGAGTATATAATAAGATCTTCTAAACTTTCCACAGTATGCATCCAATGAAGTGAGCTGTAGCTCACGAAAGCTTATGCTCAAATAAATTGGTTAGTCTCTAAGGTGCCACAAGTACTCCTTTTCTTTTTGTGAATACAGACTAACACGGCTGTTACTCTAGAACCAGGATTAAAGCTCCTGCTACTACTGACTCCAGGAAGGGGGTGAGTGTGGCAACTACAGGATGATCTTATTATCATCAGTCCCTAGAAAGGTCTTTGCTCATGTTCCATTTGTTAGGATACTCCTTAATGGACATAATTATACTCAGCAATCAGGTTTCACTGATGCGTGGTCAACAATGGACAGTGTCCTTACCCTCCAGCTTCTGACTGAGCTGCACCAAGAATTTAACCACCCACTTCATGTGGCATATATTGACAGCTTTTGATTTGGTCAACAGGTCAGGCCTTTAGCTCACACTACCCAATATAGATCTTCCTGAAAAAGGAATTTATCGCTCAATAGTTAATTCCTTCACTCGCCATGCCAGTGAATTGGTTAAAGTGAGACACAGGCTTGACACTCCTACATGTTTATACAGATGAAGTGAAACATTCTGGTTAAGACAGTACCATGTGGAGTCTGTTAGAATAAGCCTCCCATTGGGAATTGCATCCCCATTTAGATTCACAGAGGCTGGTTATCAGGTACAAGACTTTGAAGTCTTGTCGAAAAATTACCCTCAAATAAATTCTTCTAAGTAGTAGCTGCGAAAGTAATGTAAAATTAAGAGATGCAAAGCTTGTAGAAACTAAGCTATTATAATGCCAGGATAATTATCAATCCTTTCTGAACGTCTTTAAATGGATTATCTAGCACAGTACGTACTTTCTTTTTTTTTAAACAGTTATCTTCTGAGATGCTTTAATATCTTTGACTTGCCCTTAAATACTGTAGAAAGTCAAATTCTATTTCTAATTTGTAAGGATCTAAAACCCCCCTTTAATAATGGTATTGTAGAGGCTTTTGCATTGGCTATAACAGCATGTTGTCCAGGAATTAAAACGAAGCCCAATTCACATAGAGTAAAACCATCCCCAAGTGAGAGCTCAGGCGGCATACCATATAGCTTTTTTTTCTTCAGATTGGGCAAAGAGATGAACTCCCTTAATTAACAGGTGAATCAGAGGTCAAACCAATTAAAAGATAAGCTGCTGTTTAAAGGGTGGTTTAAAGGCCCTGGAAAAGGATAGGTAAAGTTTTTCCTGTCAAATGTTGCAGTTCCTTTGGGCATGGCTACACTTGCAGATGTAGAGTGCCGGGAGTTAAACCAGTCCTCGGAGACCGCAGCAGGGAAAACGCTGCCGTGTGTTTACACTGTCAGCTGCAAGCGCACTGGCGTGGCCACATTAGTAGCTCTTGCAACGCCACAGAGAGCAGTGCATTGTGGTAGCTATCCCAGTGTGCAAGTGGCTGCAGCGTGCTTTTCAAATCGGGGAGTGGGATGGAGTGTGACAGGGAGTGTGTTGTGTGTATGTGGGGGGAGAGACTGTGTTTTGGGGGGCAGAGATGTGTCAGCAGGCTGTCTTGTAAGTTCAGACAGCAGCAGGGGGAAACCCCGACATCAGCGCTCCCTCCTCCCACACATGCCTGTCTCGGCAGCAGCAGCATTCCACAGTAATGGTTGCTTTGTCCTGGAGCAGATAAGCATGCCGGCTGTCAGAAACGGAGCTTTGAAAGGGGATATCCGCATGCCTGCAGCCGAGTTCAAAACAATGACCAGAGTGACCACTTGACTTCAAGGGATTATGGGACATTTCCAGAGGCCAATCACAGCGCAGTAATGCAACACATCATTCACACTGACACGCGGGCATTTCAGCCAGGGCGCAGCAAGCTTTATGCTTCTCGTGGAGGTGGATTACCAGGAGCGCTCCAGCTGCAGAGTCCAGAGGATATAAGTGCCTTGCCAGCATGGACACCTCAGGAGTTAGGGCGCCCGGGGCTGATTTAATGCGCTCTAACTCGCAAGTGTAGCCTAGGCCTTTGATAGAGCTTTCGCCAGTCAGCCCGCACCACTGCCGTTGTGTTCCGTTTGTCGGCAGCAGTAGAAACTGACTGTATGTGAAGGATTTGTTTACCCTAGTATAAGCAAGCTTTGTGTGTGTGTTGTTAGGCTAGCAACCACATAGATTAAAAGACACTGAACATTACTGTAATTTTGATACTCTGTCAAGGAGCATAAATAAATATGCTCTAAATAAAACCGAATACTGTAGTGAGTGGAAACACACACAGCAAAAATAATGTTGATAGGTAGGGACACAAAATCATTTTCTAGAGAAGTGCGCAAAAACTATGGTATGGTGCTGGGTTTAATTTTGCCTTGAGGTCCAAAAAATGCAGAGAAGCATTCCCCCCCCCCGCCCCTCCAATGAGAATGTTGTTAGGTTAGAGGGAGGGAAGGAGCCCCAAAACATCTTGGGAGAGAAGGCAGAGCACTAAATGAATTGACATATGTAGTCTCAAAGTGAGTGAGGCAATATCTTTTATTGGACCAACTTCTGGTGAGAGAGACCACAGAAGTTGGCCCAGTAAAAAATATTACCACACCCACCTTGTCATCTAGTATTCTGGGACCAACACGGCTACAGCGGTACTGCGTACAACATATGTAATCGAAGGCTCTCTGCTTTTCTTCACCATAATGAAATTTGCAGATGATACATGTGATGCTGGCAGAGCAGGTGCCAGCTCATGCCAAGGACCCCAGGCCTCAGTAGAAGACTGACAAATACACAGGTGGAACCAGTCTGGCTCACCTAGACGTTAGCATGGTTAAAATAGCTATTAGAATGATAAAGTGTGCGTAGCGTTCAGACTTTGTTGAATGCTTGCAAACTGAGCTTTAATCTCATTTCTAACACCTGTATCCCATATTGAAAGGTAATATTTAAGTGTTTGGATTATACACCTTGGTGACCGTGGAAATCAACAGACAGGAGAGAGACATTAATTAGTGTAAAGTGCTGATCTCCAACAGAAGGCGTCACGTCCTGCCCCACAGGGAAGGCCCATCGGCACCAGATGAACTACTGTGGAACATCAAAGAGGACAAAAGACTTTTGCTGATTGTTCTCTCCCTCCCCTCCATGAAGAGCAGTTGTGCAAGTGAATTCCTTCCATGAGCTGAGTTTGCAGCTCAGAGTACAAGGGGAGAAGGGAATAAAAAGTCCTATCAAGGAGGAACTGTATCTTTTTACTGCTTAGACTCCATAGATTCCCAGTACTTAGCCTGGGTTAGGCTTAAAGGATTTATAGAGCTCGCATATTACAGAAGCTTCGAGTACTTTTTGCAATTTGAGACAAGAACTCATTTTTGTGTTTCTGTGTTTACCTGCTTTAACCTAGTAAATAACTCTCTCTCTCTCTCTCTTTTTTTTTATAGGACAAGTATTGTCTTTGGTGTGAGATCTGAATGACTTGGAGTAAGTGACTGGTCCCTTGGGACTGGGAGAAATGTGAATATTGCTGTGATCTTTGGTGTAAGGGGCCATCTATCACAAAGTCAGGCTTGCCTAGGTGACAAGACAGATCGGAGTACCCAAGGGGACTGTCTGTGACTCTGTGGCTAGGCAGTTATAGTGCCTGAGAAGTTTACACTTGATAATCAGTTGGAACTCACAATCAATTTGGGGTTTGTGCCCTGGTTCCTAACAGTGTTCCCTGAGCTTGGTACCCTCACTCTTGAGCCACTGCAGGACACCTTGACAAGACAAAAGTCGGATTTGTTTTAACCTCCAATGAGAGGGAAATATGAAGGGTCTAGAAAGGTTGGAAATACAACCAGAAAACAGGCAAATGGTATTCAGCTTGAGGAAGATGCAAATTAATATATGTGAGGAAAATAATCTGAAACAATAATCAGATCAATAGGAGGGAGACACCAGGAAAGCAGTAAATAGGAAATGGATGTGGAAGTCACTGGGCACAGCATATTGGGAGAAGGGGGGAACTGTTGCTCACCCCTGTGCAGGTGCCTGGGACCTCCCCATCCAAGCACAGCAATGATCCTTGTGCCAACCTGAGAGCTCTCCCAAAATCTTAGCATTAATCTTGTGTCTAATGCTTTATACAATGCTTTATACAATGTAAACTGAAGCTTTCACATAGTTCACAGCACTGAATCTAACAATTGTAGCACTGGCAGCACTAAAATAAGTGAGGGAAAGGCAAGATGCTAATCAGAATGGTGTGATGATAAGATCTTTCTGTCACAGTTACATGGTTAGCTGCAGTTTTGACCTTCCCCCTTTCCTCCCACATTTCCCCACTTGGTCTTCTTTGAGGGCATTCACTTAAGGTTTCAGGCTTCCAGCCACCACCTCTCTTGGGTGGAGACATGCACCTGATTTCTACAACAGGTCTGCTGGGGTCTAGCACCCCAGGGTTGCTCTTTCTCCAGGGGCTACAACAGTGTACACCAGTTTCCAAACAACCTTCATGAAGCAAAGTTAGTTTATTCTTAGGGCAAAAGCATCCCAGAGAAAACCTATAAAAACAATAATCATTTGTATATGCATACAGCAGTCTCCCGTGGGAGTCTGGTAAGCAAGCTTCCCTTCCAACCCTTCAGCAAGAGATGGAGTCTCTTTAGAACCAATGCCCTGTACATTTCCTGATCTGAAGGAAGAACCCTAGGTCTGTTTAAACTGAGCCTTTTCTATCAAAAGTTCTTTTTCTCCCAGCCTCAGCCTCCTGAAAACAAGTAAAACCAGTCCCTGCTCCTATTCCCCAGGAGATCAAGCTGGGAATTTACATAGCAGCCCCTGGGATTTTGCATTAATCACCTCCTAAGGATTCCAGATTCTGCCAGATCACCCACCCAGCCACCCCCATCCAGGAACAGACAAATACACATCACCTGTATTGATACAAAGGGCTGTGACTATGCTACAGCTCATACAATCTGTCCCATCTCAATATAATGGCTTTTTGAGGTTTTCATGCTTTAAACATCAAATACAATATAGTTCCCAAAGTTGCTGCACATGGTTGCAATATCTGTCATTTTGGCATCTCAGACAAACATATGTACAATTTGTATCTGGCTTATTCCTCCTCGGAGAGTCCCGGTCTCCTACTTCACAACTAGTCAAAAACACTGCATGTGCATCATTCCCTTGATAAGGTTTTAGCAGCCTTCTGTATAGGAGCCTTTGTGTATGATCTCTCCGTTTGTGATCTAGTCTGTCAAGACTTCATATTCACAGTGTCTTGTTTGCTTTAACAACTTCCAGGCACTGAGATGAAGCATAGTTTATTTTTTGGCTTCTCCAACCCGATTAATATCTGATTAATATCCTATCTGAGATATTGTTGGCTATGACTTTGGTTATACATTTTTTCCCCTGAAGGTTTACTCTGGATTTATTGTGGAAACACGTCTATAGAAATGTTAGAAATATATGTGTGAGTTAGATATCAAGTGGGCTTTGCTTGGAATACATGTAACACCATATCTGATAATAGAAAAACCAATATCCAATCAAAGGAAAAATAATAATACTAACAAATACAATATAGTTTGCTTTCCTTCCATGCTGTGGAAACCCAGTCCAGACTATAGACTACTACGCAAATAGGCCTGAGTTTAGCATGCATGTAGGTCCTGATCCTGTGACTGGCTGCACCCAACACAGGAACCCAACTGCACAGATCCAGTTGTAGGACTGGGGCTCACAGCACATGTGTAGTTACATAAGCAGTTGCACTGAGCCACATTTAATGGGTCTATTCAGATGAGTAAAGTGCTTAAGCGTCTGCAGGGTTGGAGCTACAGGTCTTTTTCCAGGATGTTTGTGTCTCTGCACAGAACTTAGAGGTGTATTTTTGCTGACTCTAGATCTAGATCTGAGTTGTAGATTTCAGAAGCTTTTCTTAAGTGCTTACAAATTCCTAGTTAGATTGCTCTTGTCCCTGAGATACCAAATACTTTGCTTGATCCTCTAGAGTAACATATGGCCTTTGAGTGGAGAGTACAATGTCTACTGCACATGCTCTAAGACCTTTTTACATAGTGCTAATATCTCTTTCCAGTTCACAGGATTCTAACCTCCTCATTGTTTGAGCCTATAATGCACACAGGCTCCAGCAAACATTAGGTAAACTCTTCCTCCTGTTAAATTAGCCAGTTAGGCCTGGTCTACGCTAATGCTGTAAATTGATCATAGTTAAGTTATGCTAGTTAAGTTTAGTAAGTAACGTAACTTAAATCGATGTACCATCGATCGACTTACAGCGGTGTCCACACTACGCTATGTCGACAGGAGATGTGCTGCTGGCAAGATAGCTTCCGCCTCTCATTGAGGTGGATTACAGACGTTGATGGGAGAGCGCTCTCCCATCAACTTAGCATGTCTTCACGAGACCCACTAAATCAACACCGCTCTATCAATTGCAGCGCTTTAGTAACAGAGCAATAGATTAGCACTCATCCTGGATCTAGTGAGCACCTTGCATGCCTTTACTTCAAATCTTTTATTAAATCTTTTTTTTATTTCAAAGTTATTTTGGTTTATTTAATCTTTATCTTCTTAACCTATTGTGGCAAAGAGAGGCAAGGTTGGCTAAAATAATCCCGACTGGCAACACACTATTGCTAGCCCCAGGTGTTGAAAAAATCATGAGACTGCCCCCCTAAAGTCATGAGACTAGCTCAAAAATGATGAGAATTTAAATAATATTGGGTACTTATTTGCCTTCTGCTTTTTGAGTCCTTAGGAGGGTTCACGGCTTCAAGCTTTTCTCTGAAGCCACAAAGATTAGAAACTCGTTTAATAAAATGTAATCACAGGACTCCAGGAGCTGGGCCTTTAAGACAAACTCCATGTGTTGCAATACTCATGATAAAATCGTGAGTTGGCAACATTGCAACACAGGACCGAGTTCTTCTCCCCACCTCTGAAGCTGCACAAGGCCTGAGATGCAGTAGACATGCCACACATCTGTTGAATGTAGGGAGCAGGACATGGAAAGACTGTGTAGGTAGATTGCACTCTCCGGACATATACAACTGACCTCCACAGTGTGGGGGCATCAACGGATGGGGTCTGAATTAACTATGCAGATTCACTGGAAAATCCTATTTATGGAAAGTAGCAGGAACAACTGTATTCTATAGGCTGCACCAGAGTCTGCAGAGGAGCTGCATGTGTTTTAAGTGCCCTGCTGGTTTAGAGTGAGGATTCTGTCCCTCCGTCCGTGTCTAGGGTTGCCAACTGTCGAATCGCACAAACGCAAACATCCTTGCCCCGCCCCTTCCTGACACCCTGCCATGCCCCTTCTCCAAGGCCCCGCCCTCCGCTCACTCTATTCCCCCTCCCTCTGTCGCTCGCTCTCCCCCACCCTCACTCACTTTCACCAGGCTGGGTCAGGCGGTTGGAGTGTGGGAGGGGGTGTGGTCGCTGGGCTGGGGCGTGGGGCTGAGGGGTTCGGAATGTGGGAGGGACTCTGGGTTGAGCCTGGGGCAGGGGGTTGGGGCACAGGAGGGGGTTCAGGGTGTTGGCTCTGGGATGAAGTTTGGGCGCAGGACGGGGCTCAGGGCTGGGACGGGGGGGTTGGGGTGCAGGATCCGGCCAGGTGGTGCTTACCTTGGGCAGCTCCCGGATGCGGCTGACATGTCCAGCTCCTAGACTCACGGGCAGCCAGGCAACTCTGCACTCTGCCTGCAGGCACCGCCTATGCTGCTCCCATTGGCCACGGTTCCCACCAATGGGAGCTCTGGAGTCGGCGCTGGGCCAGCGTGCAGAGACCCCCTGGCCACCCATGTGCCTAGGAGCTGGACATGCCAGCTGCTTCCGGGAGCTGCACGGAGCCGGGGCAGGTCTGGAACCTGCCTTAGCCCTGGTGTGCTGCCGGCTTGACTTTTAGCTGCCTATTAAAATCTCCTGGATCGCTTTCAATAGCGGGAGATTGATTCCGAATCCTGGAGACTCTTGGCCACTGTGGGAGGATTGGCAACCCTGACTGTGTCCCTGCATAGTTGTCCGCTGAAAGTCTGGGATACTCAGCCTTAGATGAGGGACCAAGATTTGGCCCTGAATAGATTTCACAAATAGAGCTGAAAGCTTCACTGGGTACTACAAAGCACTGTGACCTTTGTGAAGTGCACAAATGCATTTCTAATGACTATTTTTGTTACTGTGGGGATTTCTGCCATTGTTCTAAGCTGTGCACCACCAGATTCTGTGTCAGAGCTGAGCTCTGCACTTTTCAAAGTCTTGTGAGACAGGGTGTTGCGATAGGCTTCCAGTCTGTTGCTATGGGACTGATCCAAAGCCCACTGAAGTTAATGGGAATCTTTCTGTCGACTTCAGTGGACTTTGGATCAGCCCCGGTGAGGCAGAGTGCTTGGCCAGCTCCTCCTGTTCCTAGATCCAATAGTGAGATTTCCACAATTCCATTGACTTTCCATGGATTTAATCTCCTAAATCCT